AACGTTTTTTCACATTTTCTGCAAAAGCATTCATCTGAGGCGTTATAAAAATTCCCACTCTATACTTTTGGACCGTTGAACCGGACGTTTTATCAAGAGCAACATTTTTCGCTAGGAATTTTAGTTTGGGAGAAAACACCCATCAAGTTGGAGCAAAACTAAAAAATAGCGGTTTTCAAATATTTTCCTGCATTTTTTGCTCGGAAATCAAAAAACGTTTGCAGCCGGCTTATTGAGGACTTTAAGGGAAAAGTGACTATCAACTTTTTTATACACTTTGGCTTGCTCTATACAGTGCCGTGCAAAAAACGTGTCCATTTGGTTTACTTTTGAAGATAAATGGGGCTTTTTAGAAACAACGTTTTTTCACATTTTCTGCAAAAGCATTTATCTGAGGCGTTATAAAAATTCCCACTCTATACCTTTGGACCTTCCCGACGTTTTATCAAGAGCAACATTTTTCGCTAGAAATTTTAGTTTGGGAGAAAAAACCCATCAAGTTGGAGCAAAACTAAAAAATAGCGGTTTTCAAATATTTTCCTGCATTTTTCGCTTGGAAATCAAACAACGTTTGCAGCCGGCTTATTGAGGACTTTAGAGGAAAAGTGACTATCAACTTTTTTATACACTTTGGCTTGCTCTATCCAGTGCCGTGCTAAAAACAGGTCCATTTGGTTTACTTTCGAAGATAAATGGGGCTTTTTAGAAACAACGTTTTTTCACATTTTCTGCAAAAGCATTCATCTGAGGCGTTATAAAAATGCCCACTCTATACCTTTGGACCTTCTGGACGTTTTATCAAGAGCAACATTTTCCGCTAGAAATTTCAGTTTGGGAGAAAAAAATTAAAGAAAGACCAGCATTGAAGAATACGGTTGCAAAAACTCTTGCAAATTCAAAAATCTACTTGAAAAAACTTGAAACAAAACACTGCAAAGCGAGGTTCTAAGTCATAAAATCCGAAATCGTGTGTGGTCCTTCGAGTGTAAATAAAGATTTAACGTTGGAAATTTAGAGGCTCTGGGTTTTAAAGTAAACACACCATCACTGTCCGTTTATTTTTCTCTGGCCGATTTTACGGATGGTTTTCTTCCCAGCAGTTGATACGTTTATTTGCCTAGGACGAGGCCAAATTGATGGCGAACAACAGAGAATCTCTAACGCCCAAATGGGCATAATAATACTGCATTTGCTACAACTAAACAAAGATTCAAACGGAAATCGCGCATTTTGAAATATTTAAATCCTGAAATATCGGGGCTTTCAATAACTGAACTCTTTTAACGGTCTGCTGCAGATCCTGGCCTTTATAATCGGAAAATTTCGCTTTTTCGCTGAATGTTAAAATCAACGCCACCCTGAATTGCTTAACTCCAGATTTCCCTCGTTATCCACCAGCAGTACAAAAGGTTTGAACGCTTATTTTCCAAGCTTACTCAGTCGTAAAAGGGACGTAATGGACGCATAATGCCCCTTAATGGAAATATTTCTTGCGGCAATCTCAACAAGGAAAAATCGATCGAAAAAGTCCAGAAAATGTTTTTCACATGTTCACCACGTTTAAAAAAAGGCACAACTTCATCTATTTGCATCCCAATTAATGCCAGTGCAAGATTTAATAATTCTCGGAATAAACACTGAAGAAATCTCACACTTCATGGCGGATTTCTCCACAAATCCATCGCGTTGTGAGCATATAAATTGTATGCAAATCGATAAAAATAGGGATAAAGCGACTAATTAACAGCAAGGTCAAGTCTGAGCTCAACAAACGACAAATCAAACAAAGCAATGTTTATTGGAACTTGGGCTAAAGTAATTCCCCACACTGGTGAATTACTTCGTTTAATCCGTGCCTCGGCTTAATGTTAAATGTAGAGACGGCTTAAGAAAAATGTGAAAAAAGCTGCATTAAATATTTGACATAATTTGTAAATTCATTTTAAATGAGTTTTATACAGATAACTTTGTAATTTAATACATTTCAAGCAATCTTCCAATGTACCCACTTTCGGAAAACTGAAAATCTTTGAAATGTGCAAGCGCGAAAAGATCTAATCAGTGTTTTTAATTTATTTATTTTCTCTGTGATTTGCCCTTGAAATTGGACCAAGAAACTGGAAAAATTCCTGTGCCACAGAAGAAACCGAATGTCCTCTCTTGTATGTATAAAAATTTATGAGGGAAGAAGAAACAAAAATCACCAAATTTTGCATTTTTTTGATACTCTCGGTTTGGTTTGTTCCCTAAGTTCTGATTGAATTCTTAGTACTTCTGTTCTTTTTAGTAATGGACAATCCTCTTGTTCCACTGGTTTTGGCCTCTGGTGTAATTTGAAACATTCTTCTGAAGACAAAAGTGTTTGTCTTTCTTATAAAAATACTACAAATTTAGCAACCGCGAGTGAAATCTATCAAATACACTATTTATTGAGCCATTGATCTTTTCTCACATGTTTCTTTGTTCATTTCAAATTAATACCCTTAAAGCAATGCAATATGAAAAAAAGGAATGGTTTCCAGAACTTTTTATTTTTTCTTTGCTCATTCATCGTTTAGCTCCCGCACCTTAAAATTTGCTATCATTTGCTGCAATTCCCATTAAACTCGTTTTAGAAATAGTATTTGCGACTTTCCATAGATTTTTTTCTACCTTTGTTCGCATTTGATTTGATTTTTACTTCTGTTTATTCAAGTTTTACTAACATTCCCTTAAAAAAACATTCTGACTTTTGTAGAAAAACTTAACTAAAGGATTAATCTTTGTCTTGTCTTAATTAATCTTGATTAATTGTTGAAAGCCAGCCCTGTTTTAACCAGAAGAACCTCCAGTGGGCTTATCGGGAACAGTTTATGATATAAACAAGTTGATCTGAGAGGAAGCATCATAATAAACTCAACAATCCGCTGCAGTTGTGCATAATACAAGTGAACTTTCGAAATTTTCAAAATGAATAAATCATCTCTGATTTTGTTCGCAATTTTTGCAACTTTGGTAGTCAGTGTCTACAGTGCCCCGGTGCAGGAAGAACTAGAAGAAGATGAAACCGGTAAGCAAATAGCTTTAGTTCAACTAGTACGTTTAAGAAATTTACTTTTTTGTCCAAATATTTTTTCAAATATCAGTAATAACTTTCCTACTTTTTGTTATTGATTAAACATTTAGAACAATCGATAGAGTGGTGATAAAGCGTACTCTAAAATTGATCAACTACAATGAAAGCGAAATATCTAGACAATTTAATTTCGTAAAGCAATTGCAATAGTAAAAGCGCCTATGAAAATCTCATGCTTCAATAATCGTAAAAAATCAACATTTCCATCGCACCTCGTAAGAAAGCTAACGTTGTCAGCTGCAGTCAAGAGAGAGACCGACATAGCGGTTTCCACGGAAACCAGTCTGTTCTTGTCGCACGCTACCGATGTACCAGGACCGATTGAAATCAGCAAGACTTTTATTTAGTGCTTAACGCGATTAGAGTAGTCGCAATTGCACTTAAATTGCCATAATTGACGGCGTTTTTCGGGCTTTTAGGCCATCAGGAAGAAACTCTATTTTACGACGGTCTAAAATCGCGAGAAATTCACAAATTTCTTAACTCACTAGTTTGGGGAATTGATCAGCGTAAAATTTTATTTGGCACACATTTTCTGTATTTTAAGAAAATTAATTGAAATTGCATACTTTTATGACGTAAATCTATCTTTTAGGACACGTTATTGTGAAAAGAGCGACTTGCGATCTCCTGAGCTTTGAAGTGGCTGGAGTTGCAGTGAACGATTCCGCATGTGCAGCCCATTGCCTCACTCTGAAGAAAAAGGGAGGACGATGCAATGCAAACAAAGTTTGCGTGTGTCGCAACTAATCCACTCCCGACACGATTTGCACACAATTTTTGGCAATAAAATACACTTTTTCTCAATGTTCCTGTTTTATTTCACCAGCTGTGTTTGGTTCAACAAGTAATTTGTAATCGGGGCGCGTATTGAAGGCAAAGCAATCCATCGATGCATTCGATCAGATTCGCCCCTCAAAATCCACATTAGCGGCTGGAAAGTAGATTCCAGGCGCCCCCTCTAATTTATTCTCCATTACTCTCATCAGGTCGCCAGAGGGCGCGTTACACAATATCATGCGCCCCGCTGCTGTCGGGCCCCTGGGGGCCCCAATCTAGATAGAGTTCGGTGCGCGTATAATCGCCGCTACACGATTCATGGACCGAGATAGCAATTTTAGCCGTGGCAGCCTCTCATAAAGCCGGATTAATAATTATAATCAAGAACCCTTAAATAATGGAATATGGGTCGCGACAAATCTCCATCCTCCTCACAGTGATCAATGTTTCATTAAATTTTTGGCAGCAAAATTACTATTTTGACTAGGCAAGATTTATTACTGTTCACATTTTGCCCTCTTAAGTGCTAAAATGGCTAAGAAGAACCCAATTTCCTAATGGATGCAAGCAAAAAAACGACTCTGTCTTGCCACCTTTTACATGGATGCTCGCCAAGCTAAATAAAACGGTGATGCCACATTTCTACTACCCACCTAATGTGACTGAATAGTTGACTTTGTTTGATCTACTAATTTCATCTGATGGCTTGGGTTGCCTTTTTACCTGACACTTCTAGTACGACGTGACTACATTTTTATTCTACACCCAGAACGGCAACCCTGTGTCAGCCAGAGATTTGTTGACAAACATGTCATCATTGTGGTTAGATTTTAAATTGTGCTCTTCAGAACTTAAAATGTTTAAAAATGTCAAACCTGCATCAAGATCACCTTGCTGTGTATGCTCTAAATGAATMAAAAAGAAAGCTCTAAAAGCTCACGGACGAAATTCCGAAATAATAGACATTKTYGGTACATTTTAAGCGTTTTTTGATCGTTYACCATCTTTAGCCGACGATTTTTTYCTTATTATTGACCCAAACACTTCATAAATGCAKATTTGTGACCTTCTTACGTCCAAAGGAATCGACTGAGCTCAAAAAACTCGCATGTGAAATTGTGATTTTTGGTCGAAATTTTTCCAAGGGTGTGGATGTTTTGAAAAAATTAAATTTTTTTCAAAATGTCTTAAATTTTACATCATTTTCAGCTCACGGCYRCGAGGAATGCATCGAACTCATTGAAAAACATGCTAGACGTTTCAGATCCGAAATAATGGACATTTTCGGCACATTTTAAGTGTTTTTTGAGCGTTCACGATCTTTAGCCGACGATTTCTTTCTTATTATTGACCCAAACACTTTATAAATGCATATTTGTGACTTTCTTAAGTCGAAAGGAATCGATTGAGCTCAAAAAACACGCATGTGAAATTTAGATTTTTGGTCGACCTTTTTCCAAGGGTGGGGGTCGATTTTTTTTTTAAATCAAAATTTGCTCAAAGCGTCTTAAATTTTACATCATTTTCAGCTCACGAACGCAAGGAATGCATCGAACTCATTGAAAAATATGCTAGAAGTTTCAGATCCGAAATAATAGACATTT